TTTAGGCAATTCTTTGAGTTCGAGGCTCATTTCATAATCGTTGCTACATCCTCTCATTTTGTTGGCACCACTAACCACAATTATAATTTACATTCTTGGCATGTTGGCCACACACGATATCCCAATTCACTTATTTCATTTTCAAGTATCTTTATAGATTATCAACAACAAGATATTTTAAATCAAGACCTTTGGTACACATATGAGCAATTTAGAGTCTTAAGCATATCAAGTTTTTCTCACCCAATTGGTATACTAGTTTTCATTTAAAACACGACTCAAATCCATAATATTTTAATACGCAATACATACTTTGAACATATATCTTAAGACATAAAGATCATTCGGAAGAGTCAATTTTATAGGGAATAACTCGGAATATAGAAATTAGGAATCTTGAGCCAACCATACTTGAACTTTCGGAAACATTATGAAATTCGATTATAAGAGAGAAAGTTTAGCCAACATACCTTGTTCGAGCTTTCCTTAAGTTACTACAACACCCAATACTTCTAGCAATAACAATCTATAGGAAGATAGCAAAAATCGATTAATAATTAGAAGGATTCCCATGGTGTAACTCTCTTAGGAATTTTGTCAAACACCTAACATGCGAATAGACTACAAGGCTCTATAATGGAAATCCCTTCCTCCCTTAACCAATTTCAACAAGAAACTACCCAAAATAGTTCATTAATCCCACATACTACAACCTAGTGTCACGTACATGGCCTATTTCCAACCCCACAATATAGTTGAACTCATAACCTCTTGCATGAAAGCTTAAGAGTAGGGCTTAACATGATAATCTAGTGATTGGCTTTCTTGATTCTTGAAGATTGGTGGCAAGATTGGATGATTGGAATATTAGTTTCCCTCCTTCTCTCTCTAAAATGCTCTTACCACTCCCTAACTCACCAGAAAATCATCCCAAATTAAGCCTCAAAGGCTATATATCAAAATGGGTCGGGTTATAAAAATAGAAAAATGGACCCTCTGACTTAGGTTTACGATCGCAAAAGTGACCGCACAATAGATGTGCGGTCCGCAAAATGGTCGCACAATTGATGCTCAAAACTGGGATGTTTGGGGTTGGGTTTGCGGCAGGTCTGCGGCCCGCAGACCTGTTCTGCGGTCGCAAAATGCACCATAGACCTGTTCTGCAGTCGCATAATACACCGCATAATGGTCCTCAACATAGCTCGATTTCTGCTTCACTCTGCGGCACTTATGCGGCCCACATATCGATTTTGCGGTCGCAAACTAGACCGCAGAATGGCATTCTTCTACCAAAAAGTTTCCTCAACACCTCAGTGCATTCTTTAGCCCAAAAAGTCCGTGCCGCGGTGAACTTAATAAATTTTATTACTTCTGAACACTTTAGCCTAACTCGGCACTACCAAACCTTAAATTCCTTAGCGAAATTTTTCCGGGCCTTACAGATACAAACTAAATGAGACAATTAAGGGTGAAATTCAAAAATAGTCAGATTTACAAGTGGTCATTAAAAAATAGCTATAGTTTCAAAAGTAATCAAAATTTAGCCACTTTTCATGTAAAGATAAATCTGAACGAAAACGCTATTCAAAATCCGGAAAATACTCCAGCATAATATCCTAGAATTCCAGTATAATATACTGAAATTATATTGGAGTTCTAGTATAATATACTGGACTTCCAGCATAATATACTGGAGTTCCTGTATAATATACCGTCCAGTATAATATGCTGGAAGTTCATACACATGTGCTCCAATCTCCACTATATTATGTTGAAACTTTCCGCATGTTGGAGTTCCACCATAATATGTTGGAAGTTCTTACACAGGTGCATCAATCTCCAGTATATTATGCTGGAACTTTCCGTGTTGCAGCAAAATAGTGGCTACTTTTCAATGACTTTGCAAACGCTGGCTATTTTCAATTATCAGTCCGAAAACTGGCTAGCCCATGCTATTTTTATCCAAATAGGGTGCTTGTGAAATTTTTGGGGTATTATCGCTTTTAGCCCGTACCAGAAACTATTTACATTTGGTAGCCGAAAAAATGTATGAAAGTTGTATAATTTTTGTATATAACATACAAAATGTATATATATACAAAAAATATACAACTTTTGTACATTTATTCGTCTATTATTTTTACAGCAGCTATACAGTATCATTTTTCCGAATTTTTTACCTTGAAATAGTCAGGCCCAAGAAATCCTACAAACTCGGGCTTATATCAATCCAACTCTAGTCAAGACCCATGATTCACCTCAGTCTTTGCTAAACGGGGCATTTGCATCTATACCCGCTTTTTGTGCCACATTTTAACCTGTGCCCGCTTTGCAAAAAAAATTGCAAGCGTACCCGCTTTTTCGCATAACTTCAGCACACGGGGCTGAAGTAGCAAAGGCAATCACACAAAACTTCAGCATTTTAGTAGCCGGGCCTGAAGTTCAGCTCTAGAGCTGAAGTTTTTGTTTTGTAACTCGCGAACTTCAGCTCTAGAGCTGAAGTTTTATTTTATAAGTTTTTGTTTAGTAACCGGGCTGAAGTTTGCCAGTTATAAAATAAAAACTTCAGCTCTAGAGCTGAAGTTTTATTTTATAAGTTTTTGTTTTGCTAGTTATAGAGCTGAAGTTTTTCTTTTATACTGGAAAACTTCAGCTTTTTGTCTTTGTAACCGGAAAACTTCAGCTCTAGAGCTGAAGTTTCTATGTTGTAACTAGAAAACTTCAGCTCTAGAGCTGAAGTTTTTGTGTTGTAACTGAAAAACTTCAGCTATAGAGCTGAAGTTTTTGTCTAATTAACTTCAGCTCAGGACACCAAGAAGATACAGTTACATCTAATTAACTGTATTGTGATCATCTAATGCATCCGATTTTGCGTTCTATTTTTATTGCAAAATAAATGCTTTGTTGCTATGTTATTTCGTTTTCGAAAACTTTTCTTTTAACATTTGAATCTCTGATCGCTGATGATCAGTTTCTCCATTTTCTTTACGATTTCTATGTTTTATCTATATTACAACATATTTGATTTTCGTGTTGCTGTTTTTTTGTTGGATAAAAATTGGTGCCTTTTTCTGATCAATGGTATGACCATATCATTCCTCAGTCCTCACGGAGTTGTGTTTCCAAACAATGAGAAAATGAAGAAGGAGAAGGGGAGGAGAAAGGGAAGCTGAAGTTTTTTAAAAAGTGGGTACGGGTGCAAACAGAAAGACAAAGCGGCTACAGGTTAAAAAGGGGCGCCGAAATAGGGCGCCCCGTGCAATTTTTACTTGCTAAACGTGTTTGACCCCATTAAATGGATTTTCTATTTAAATTATTTTTTAGTTATTTAATTGGTACAAATTAGTTATCTTATAAGGAAATAAATTTCTACAGTTGATAAAAAGATATCTTACTTTAAATTTTTGATAACTTTAATTAATTATCGAATGATTATTTATTTATTTGCGAGAATTCTTTTTTGATCATTCAATTTCAAAGCAAAGATGCACAAAAAAAATAAAGCAGCATGATTGCTAAGAGGATAACGTAACTAGTTATTCCGGAGACTATATTATAGCTTAACTTAGAATTAAATGCTATGAATTGTTCTGAAGTTGAGATTTTTAGTTCAAAATTTCAGGACAAAATAAGTATTGGCTAATATTTAAATTGCACCCCTGAGAATAACCATGGGTGATTTTTAAAAATAGCCAGATTTACAACTGGTCGTTCCAAAATAGCCCAATTTCAAAAGTAATCGAAATTTAGCCACTTTTTATATATAGATAAATCTGAGCGAAAACACTGTTCAAAACCCGGAAAATACTCCAGTATATTATGCTGGAGTTCCAGCATAAGTATACTTGAACTCCAGCATATTATACTGGAGTTCCAGCAAGTATAATGGTCCAGTATAATATACTGGAGTTTGGAGCACCAGTGCTCCAGTATATTATATTGGAGCCAGCAAAGTATACCGGTCCAGCATAATATGCTGGAGTTCATACACAAGTGCACCGAACTCCAGTATATTATGCTGGACCGGTCTCTATTACAGTAAAACGGTGGCTAGTTTTCATTAACTTGGTAAACGCTGACTATTTTTGATTGACCAGTCCGAAAACTGGCTATACCGTGAAATTTTGGCAATAACCATACGTGCACTTGAACAAATGGGCTCATAGTGCAGCAGTGGGACCAAACTGAAAAAGTTTAGGCAAAAAGTGAACATCACTTTCTGTGTAATGAGAATCTTTTTTCGGATAGAAGGGGAAGCGCTACGCAACCAAAAAGAAGAAACCAAAGGAAGTATCAAAAGCTTGATAATATGTAAAAAGGATAAGTACTACACATAGGAAATATAAATATATACTAATATAATGTTCATGCCTCAGAATACAGAATGATATTCAAAATAGCTTATAAAGTCACTTGATTTTCTTTTGGCAATACACTTCACGTAAGCATGAATTCAGTTCCGTAACGGCCACTAATTCATTAAGTAGCAAATAGAAGCATTAATAAATGTTTTACGCTCAATTAAAGCGAGGATAATTACTATATCCAATAACAAAGAAGAAAAAAAAAGAAAAATGTAAGGACGAAAAATGTAAGAGAACATCCTGCACTTATAAATAGTAAATACTCTGTTTGATCTTATAAGATAGAATAGGGGATCTTTACATAAATAGTCAATCATATTCATTATTTACTTTTTATAACGATATAAATAAATTATACTTGTCGCATAACTAACATACTATTTGGATAGCAGTACTAAATAGTACCAGCATTAAATTATGCAAAATTTTACGTATTATTTTATGTGAGATAAACTATCAATAAAAATATACTATTAACAATACGAGAATTACATTATTCAAAGATAAAAATACTCTTTTAAACTACATATGTAATTTGTTTAGTACAATTTCTTCACCCCAAAAAAAAAAAAAAAGAAATGGAGGAGAAAATAGTTTTGGTGATGTGTTACTTTAAAAAGCAGAAACGATGCGTAGAGTAACCGCTAGCCAGAACCAACCGAGAGATAGAAAAGAGAACTCTTTTCCTTCCAAACAGATCAACTGCTTGCTGCTATATATATAATCTAAAACCCCTAATTCCAAAGCACATCCATATTGTTAAAAAATGTGTTGCGGTGGTAGAATTTGCATGTTGTGCACATGCGTTGTACTAGTTGTGGTTGCGATCGGTTTCTTGTTTGGATTTGGAGTATTCAAGAATGGGTTTCACAAATTGAAGGACAGTATTCATGTTGTTGATTGTCTTAATGCTCTCTGTTCCTCCCCTACTGGTCGAAGGCCCTTTTTGGGTTTCCCCTCTGCTCCTTCACCCTCCTATTAATTAGCTATCTGTTAATTCGTGTTTTAATTTAGATGGGGTTGTATGGTTTTAGAATTTCTGACCATTGTTTGATTTGTTTATACTACTACTCCATTAGTTAAATTTCTGAAGAATGTTCATCTTGCTTTTACTTTGATGTTCAAATTTGTTGGCTCCACTTTTTGTATTCATCTCTCCTATTTGGATCCAAATTCATCTTAATTATCTACTATCCTCCGCTTCAAATTAAATTAAATGAAGTAGTTTGACTCAGCACGGAGTTTAAGAAAAAAAAGAAATACTTTTGAAATTTGTGGTTTAAAAGCTTAAGGGTAAAGCTTTGTGGGGCCATGACTTTTTAATATGAAACGGAGGGAGTATTTTTTTTTGTTTAGTACTACTTTATACCTAAATCCATGTTTTAGGACTTCATTTTCATATTAGACTATTCAAATTTAAAGCTGGTTATGCTCTGCAAAGGTCTGAAGTTGGGGTTCATTTTTTTCATTTTAATGTTTTCTTGATTTATTCGACAACTTTTCTTCGTCTTGTGGATCTCAAATTGACTAATTGAGGGTTGGATTCTGTTTTAGTTTGCTTTCCAACTATTGTGTCCGTTTTCTGTTATTAGAAAAGCAACATTTCCATAATAGAAGACTAGCCCCCATACCTAGGGACGTACATAGGTTGGGTTGGTTCGAATTTTGCAATTTATATCAATTAGAGTTGATTATGTGAGGCGTCCTTGATCTCTCCTAATTCGATAAAGACACACCGAGTCGCGTGCTAGAGTTGGTGCAATGTGGGACTTCTAGCACGCTCCCAGTTATTTCTTTTTTCTTCTTTGTTCTTTCGCGTGCCAGGTCGAGTGCCAACCTTCATACTGCATTATTTTTTTGTTCTTTCCCTAGGCCATTTCGTGCCTACTTTTATGCAATGCACCAATTGTGACATGCTCCCAAGTCTTGCATCTCTACTCTTTTTGCATCAAATCATTAAATTCTTGCCAACTTCCATCCAACTTCATTCCTACACACAATAAACATGTAATGAGCATATTCTATGTTTATAAATATATAATCTCCCGCAACTCACGTAAGAAACAATATGCAAACATATTCAAAAAATGCATTTTTCATCATTTATCAATACCAGTTCGAATGAATTCAATAACTTTTGCTTAGACTTTGTATTTACATTAAAAAAATTCATTATAAATGTTTAAATATTAATTACGAATCCAATAACTAAATTAGTTATTGATTCAATGACAATTTAAGTCATAAACTTTAAATCCTAGCTCTTAGTGTATCCTTGAGTGCTTGGATAGAAGAAAGGTTTCTTGGCTATATCTTGTGGACATTTATACAATAACAAAATGCCAAATCTAGCGCTTGCTCGATAAGTTACACAAGTACAATAAATTCAAAATGTCAGCCCAACTTATGAAACATCCAAAATAGCGTACGCAATGGATGAAAAGGGGGGCTTTTGCATCTATACCTGTTTTTTTGTCACGTTTTAACTTGTGCCCGCTTTGCAAAAAAAAATTGCAAGCGTACCCGCTTTTTCGCATAACTTCAGCATACGGGGCTGAAGTAGCAAAGGCAATCACGCAAAGCTTCAGCATTTTAGTAGCCGAGCCTGAAATTCAGCTCTAGAGCTGAAGTTTTTCTTTTGTAACCGGGAAACTTCAGCTCTAGAGCTAAAGCTTTTGTCTTTGTAATCGGGAAACTTAGCCATAATTGCTGGTTTAATTATGGAAATTATACCACCTTGGGCAGTTCTTGTTATAGGTGCAATCTTGAACTTTTTTGGTTACTTCATGATATGGTTGGCTGTAACGGGACGAATTTCAAAACCCCATGTTTGGCAAATGTGTTTGTATATATGCATTGGTGCAAATTCTCAATCATTGTGTCAAGAATTTCCCTAGTAGTCGAGGCATCGTGTTAGGACTATTAAAAGATGATGTTGGCCTAAGTGGCGCGATTATGACATAATTGTACCCGCTTTTTCTTCTTATATGGTGAACTGACAGATAAGAGGAGTAAGATTACAACACACCCGACCGGAAACGTGTATAAGAGACTACATTGATGTAACTGACTTAATTGATGCTCATGTAAAAGCATTAGAGCATGCAAAACCTAGCAAAGTTGGTATCTACAACGTCGGGAGAGGAAAAGGTAAATCATTTGACCTTTTATCACTGCAATATTATACATACTCTATTTTATCTGCAAGTGTTTAAATTTTTGTTATATGCTTTGTTACTACAGGTAGTTCAGTGAAACAATTCGTCGAAGCTTGTAAAAGGGCTACAGGAGTGGACATAAAGATTGAATATCTCACACGACGCCCAGGAGATTATGCTGAAGTCTATAGTGATCCGTCCAAAATCAGGCGTGAACTAAATTGGATCGCGAGATACACACTTGAAGAGAGTTTATCTATAGCATGGAGATGGCAAAAGGCACATAGAAATGGTTACAACTAAAGTAGATATACTTAAGATTGAATATATTTTATAAAATAAAAACTTCAGTTATAAATAAAAACTCGCCAGTTATAAAATAAAAACTTCAGCTCTAGAGCTGAAGTTTTTCTTTTGTAACCGGGAAACTTAAGCTCTAGAGCTAAAATTTTTGTCTTTGTAACCGAGAAACTTAGCCATAATTGCTGGTTTAATTATGGAAATTATACCACCTTGGGAGTTCTTGCTATAGGTGCAATCTTGAACTTTTTGGTTACTTCATGATATGGTTGGCTGTAACGGGACGAATTTCAAAACCCCATGTTTGGCAAATGTGTTTGTATATATGCATTGGTGCAAATTCTCAGTCATTTGCAAATACTGGTGCAATTGTTACTTGTGTCAAGAATATCCCTAGTAGTCGAGGCATCGTGTTAGGACTATTAAAAGGTGCAGTTGGCCTAAGTGGCGCGATTATGACACAATTGTACCCGCTCTAGAGCTGAAGTTTTTGTCTTTGTAACCGGGAAACTTCAGCTATTCTTTGTAACCTAGACGATGATGCCTGTGAAACATCTTGCGCTTTTCTCAGATTGTTTAGACAATTCTATTCCTTCAATGCGCGTTCTTTGTTCACTTTGGTAATTTCCTTTTCAACTTCTGGCCTTAAGGACTCCAGCTTCAGCTCTCTGACCTTCTCCAGTTTGTGCACTGTACGCACTTTTCTCTAAGTGTGTGTGTATATATATATATATATATATTGTAAAGTTCAAGTTCAGATTTAATTTCAGAAAATCATTGATTTCCACTACTACTGAAGCACAGTGTATATATTGTGGGTAACTTTGTTTCCGAGTTGTATGGTGAAGTTTCACTTTTTTGTTGGAGCTTGTAATTTGAAGAATTTAGTGTAACTTCTCAATTTTTAGGAAAATTTGAGGCGGATTATGCATGTGAACCAAAAGCAGTAGAAAATCCATTTTACAAGCTGAGATTTAGCAAAGGAAGGATTAAGGAATGTAAGCAAGTTAAATAGTGGATAAATAGTGGACTAAACCTAATAACTGGAATAAAAAAGAAAGAAGAAGAAGAAAACGAAGGAGGAGAAGGTGGAGGAGAAAGGAGCTGAAGTTGTTTAAAAGTGGGTACAAGTTAAATGTTTTAAAAAAATGGGTATAGATTAAATGGGGACAACCAAATAGGGCGCCCCGTGCAATTTTTACATGAAAATGTGCTTCAATAATTGAATTTGTAATACACGTACATAAGGTTCAGTTCTACCACCAACAAAATCAGCCAGAGAAGATAAAAAAGAACCAACTAATAAAGAAAAACTCCTATATATCTGCCTCGAAAAAATCTCACCATATGTTCAATTTTGGAGGTCCACTCATTTCATTACTGGACGTACATTCGTGTGACCCCTCGAAGAAAAGAGGAAATAATTTCTTATGACCAATTACAATTTAAATCGAAGAAAATGACACAAACAAAAATTATCTACTGTGGAAAAGCCATATACTAAAAATATTTGTAGTCGGCTATAGAACCAATCTCTAAGAAGACAAAGGGCGCCAGAATCAGGTGAAAACGGGCACTTTGCCTACACAAGTCTATTTTGTCTCTCCCCACCTCTTGCAGATATCTTCTGTAAATCTGCGTCGTAATGAGCAAAGACAGCATATAGAACCTGCATAAGAACATATTTGTCAATTAGTTCCAGCTAATAAACTTTAAATCATGCATAAGAACATACTGTAAATCATGCAGTATGAGACTGAATTAGAACTCCTACAGTAGACAGTTCCCAGGAACAAGATTTAGGCATCTTCCATCACCGAATGCAAGAGAGAATAGAAAAACTTCCTGTTCAATGACATTAATCGTTTCAACAACCAGACAGGAGGCAGGAGAAAAGCAAGGCAAATTGGAGACAAAATGTCTCAAGAGATGTGCTTAACAACGTTCGGGAGTTAAAAATAAGAAGAGTACACTTATACATGAAATTCTGTTACACTGATCTCTTAATTAAAGCTGCTGTTAGTATACTGAAGTTCAGAAGTTCACCTGAAGCATTGGCTGTACAAGAAGGGAAACTTGATGTCGGATATCACATCGCACAGATTCCTTAACCACCTGAACATCAATAAGAAGATAAAAATTTAATGCCCCACAAGAAATAACTCCTCAAATCAGGTAGACCAATAATTAGCAAGAGATTAACATTATTTTCAATAACATTATCCTTAATTGCTCACGAACAGTCCACCTTGGCCGGTTAATCTTGAATTTTATTAAGTTCTCGTGTTTCCTGTGCCATCCCCTACCAAATACCTTTAGTTTCTTTTTTTTCCAGTATGAATCCTTTCCAAGACATATACATGGAAAAAAGCAATCACATACAACAAAAATATGAATGGCATTTACACCTAACTTTGAACAATTAGAATAAACAAAGCTCTGTAACTAAACATTTCTTTTGGACCATAACAGCATTATTCTGTTCTACGGTAACAGGAACTCTAAATAACGTTGACGGTGAAGCATCAAGGTCGAACATTGCCCTTAGTTTAAAAATATTTAGTTGTTATTGGATACGACGACCAGAAATGCTTCAACATTTCCTGAATTGATGTCTAATGCTAGAAGCAAAATGAAAACTAATAACTAAAGCACAGGACAAAATATCATTCAAGATAAATTAAAATACAGTGGAATTACTCACAAGTAGTAATTCATTTTTGGTTGCACTAG